TAATCCATTAGCCACCCTTTCTCTAGATTGACTGTTGTGTTTTTTAAATTCTGTTATACTTATACTATTATTATGAGATTTTTTTGTCAATGAGCACTATTTAAATCAGTTTACCATTGCTTTTACTTTATGGCTTACTACATTAATCTTTGTAGGTAAATTTGATATCCTTATAGGCATTGCTAGGATGGCTATGTGGCCACTACCCCATGAGAATCAGTCCATGCTAAATATTGAATTTGCTAAACTATTATCATCCATGTTCTTGCTGATTCATCATCTGTTGACATTGTAAATGTTTTATTAGTTTATGATTTATATTCACCAATATATGTCATCGGCACTAGGATATTACTGTGTTTTTAGTCCAATGATGGGTTAAGGTGATGTTTTAAGGGGGGAATGCACCTTCAAGCCTAGGCAAGAAGGAGTGTAAGATGGGTGCAAATTTCCAAAGAATTATTAAATGCAACAAGCAGTTCATCTAAAGCAATTGTCATTGAACTTTAAAGTAGCACATGTACGTCAAAATTTTACAGTTATGTTCTGCATTTTTGACATTCGTCTTACATATGTTTCCCAAATTTGTTTGATACGTTTGCTTCATATAACAAAAACGTCTGACTACCACAGTCCATTTTTCTGTTTCATGCTTTAAAATATTTTTGACCAATCAAGAGTGAAAATGCAATGAGGTAGTCAAAATTAGAACAGATCTTGTTCAACAAGAGTAAGACCAAAAATAGTTGCCTTAACGGATTGTGATGCGTCGTCAAATCCTGTGGAACGGGGAGACATGTCCCTCACACTTAAAATCATCGATTTCAATTTAGGAAAAGTTTTAATTTTCTGACCCCCCACCCCACCCCACCAATTTTCGAAACAGCACTAAATAGAATATTACTGTGGAAGATGGATTCTTGCGGGCTACTTTAGACTTACAAGGTTATTTGGTCACCAGAAAAAAATAGCAAACTCAAAAAATATTTTTATAATCTTTTTATAGAATATGCACGAGCAAACTCTACAGTTAGCAAAATGCACGAAGAACAAACATAGAAGTACGCATAAGTAGACAGGCAAGCGTTCAAAGTAGACAAAGAAAAATTTTTCAGTATACTACCACAAAGTATGTGATACGAATGGACCATGGTTATTATTCCTCTCAAACCTTCTCTGTACTATGCTGTCTTTGAATAAAGGGTGGTTGTTAACCATCGCGTAACGCTTGCTGAGCTTACATTTATATCTAATATTATGTTTGATATTGTTAGGAAACTTATTTGTTAGAAAATCTTCCTTGTTAAATAATTATTTTTAGCTCTGTCTGCATGCTTTCAAGAATTTTTTCGTAAGTTAAAGATTGTTGATAAGAATCACAAAGTGAGTCGTATCCGCTTATTGAATCCACAAGGCTGCTATTCAAAGCATGAATCATGGAAGAAAGGACTGCCTGTAACTATATTTCAGTGTATTTGTTAGCATTTCTCCACATTCTCGTTGCTAACTTAGTTATATGCTCATAATAGCGATTCTCGTATTGAAATATAGACAAGGTGACAAAAATGGATTTTTAATCATCGTTCTTGAAATAATTACAATTTAGTTATGAATGCTTATGTTTGAGTACAACCAAATATTAGAAACTACAAAATTATCCTAAGCCATATAGGCAGTGTGATTATACAAAAGCTAAAGTTTTAAAAAATCGTTTGCGATATTCACTCCTTCGCAGATATGAAGGGTGTTTCATCATAAATCGGGTTAGCCTGATGCATGACTACCACCTGTCGACTCTGTCCTCTTGTCTCTCTAAAAGTTCCAAAGATAACATAAAAATTTAATTTAATTTATAATTAATAAGCTCCAAATAATTCTCAATGTTTGCAATAGTTCCATCTGAATATATTAATATCAGAATTCATAAGCGCAATGTATTTTTTTCGATGAGTGGTTGGGTCGGAAAGTTTTTATTCCGGATTTCAGATTCCGATATCGGAAGCCCGAATAGTTTTCACGGATGTGTAAATTGTTTTAAAGTTTCTGTTTACTTCAACTGTTTGCAGTGACAACGAGATATAGTTTGTGTGCACGTGACCTCAAGGGTTTATAGTACGTCATTTAGGGGAAATGAAGAACCAGCATTGCTTCCAGTAATGCTAAACAGTCCATAATCATAGAATCAGGAAATACAGAAAGCTCACTCCATTGAATTTTCTTTTGTGCATATCTTATTACGCATTTGTTTACCATAATGGCGGGCCAGTCAATTGGCCTGTTTTGACCTAAAGGAATGTTAGCATGCGTAACTGCAGACAGCACTTACGGAGTGAAGTGGCCTTTGTGTGTATTCCTTTAGTCTGTGCCATAATTACTCGATTATACATCCAAACTTTTATTGCCTTACGTAATTGTTTTTTCTCGTGTAAGTTAAAGCATATGTTTCTCGTCATTTGTTCCACGTAAAACCTTGCTTTAATGGCATTAATTTTCATTTTTTTGTTTTTTTTTATTAGGTCGACTTAAGATGGCTAAACAGATTTGGGACCGGGAAAAGTTTTCCCCGTAAGTTTTGCTTTTTATCGTTAACATTTCTATGCTGCCTTAGACATTTCTATGCTATCTAGAAATAAAAAACATTTTCTGTGTTTCTATGAAGTTATAGAAACACGCGTAGAAGTTTTCCCCGTAAGTTTTGCTTTTTATCGTTAACATTTCTATGCTGTCTTAGACATTTCTATGCTATCTAGAAATAAAAAAAACATTTTCTGTGTTTCTATGGAGTTATAGAAACACGCGGAAAAGTTTTCCCCGTAAGTTTTGCTTTTTATCGTTAACATTTCTATGCTGCCTTAGACATTTCTATGCTATCTAGAAATAAAAAAACATTTTCTGTGTTTCTATGGAGTTATAGAAACACGCGGAAAAGTTTTCCCCGTAAGTTTTGCTTTTTATCGTTAACATTTCTATGCTGCCTTAGACATTTCTATGCTATCTAGAAATAAAAAACATTTTCTGTGTTTCTATGGAGTTATAGAAACACGCGGAAAAGTTTGGGAGAAATGAGAAATTACGTTTCAAGAACGCGTGCACGAAGTGCGATCGCTTCCAAACAATTTCAAATTTTATGTATTTTCAAAAATTCAAATTTTTTAAGTTTACTATTTTCTAAAGGGAATTAGCATAGCTATTACAACGGAAAAAATACTCCAAAAAACATCCCTTTGAAAACTCAAGATTCGTGTTATATTGACAAAAGACAAATTTATAAACGATATTTCCACTATTTTTAAAGTAAATATCCTTTCAATTAAAATCATAGATTTGTCTCTTGTTAATAACTCGAATCTTGAGTTTACAAGATGATGTTTTTTGTAGTGTGTTTTGTGCTATATTTCTTTCAGTAATCGGCTGAAATACTTTTTAGAATAGCTAAGCTTTATGTATTTTTCGGAGACTTGTTTGAAATTTGTGCGGTCTTTTATTTTGTGGGTTTTGCAAAATTTGTCTGATTTGAGAGTTATTTTGACTTATCATTTATGTATAGCTAATCGGACTTTGTCCGATTTTTATTGGGTTTGAACGAAAGCTAATCGTAGTTGTGCAAATGTCCTATTGGTTCCTGTTAACAGGTACAAAATGTAATATTTCTATCAACTTTTTCCGAATTTTGTGAATGAAAGCCAATTTGAAAGTCTAACTAAAAATAATCAACGTAAATAATTTTAGAAGGAAAGGTCCTACCTAAACCGTGTCATACCTTCTTCTAAAACATCGTCGGTACAAAATAACTATTATCGATATTATGAGGATTAAGCCAAAGGATTCACCCACTGACGGTAAGACGATGTTGAAAATCAAGTTGTTCTTGTCTGTAGTCCTCGTTTTCGTCGATACGAAGAATTTGGAAGAAAACACGATTTTCACTCGGGTTGTGTTCCTAAAACTTGCCCCTCCAGAAATATTAAAATAATGAACAAAAATATAGACGTCTTTTTCATTTTCTGGTATGGAGTAAAATTGAAGTGGCATAGATGAATTCCACTGGCCTTCCCTCATAAGCACTTCTCCTAATTCAGGAGATACTTTGAATGAACTTTGTTGAAACTCGACTTTCCACGATATATTTATATCTCCGGTCGAACCTTTGAGTCTCATCAGTGGTAAAAACATTTGTTTACTATGAAGTTTAGGATCGTACATCACACTGTCGTTTTTGTCAATGTATCCATAAGGCATCGTGGGCGACATATCTGATTTATAATTTCATGTCAGCAGTAGTAGATGCGTAGTAGCTCCCACCGACAATCTTCCATTTGTTCTTTGCATAAAAAAATTTTACGTCAAAAATCCTTGAGATGATAGTATGGTATAAAAATGCTTAGAAGTTTTAAAATTTAAAACAATCAATGTAAAACACGTTGAATTTGTTGTTAAATGCAGCTGCATCAGGTTTACATAAAGTACACATTTATATATTCACCCATTTACAAATTTATAAATTCAGAACATATGATTATTAAGATACTTGATGGTTTACCCAAGCTAAAAAGCCAAAGCTTTCCCAATAAGCAAGTTGCAGTAAATATAATTCAATCTGCCGTATTAACGTACCTTGTACTCCTTACTCTACACGTATATGGAGACGGGGGGACTGGGAAAAGCTGAGACGTGCCAATAAAAATTTCTCGTTTACTTTTCATATAAATAAAATATAAGTTGCAAAACAAGATTTATCAATGATACATAATATCTTAGTCATAGCATCAAATATTTTGTTAAAAGAATGTGCTGGCAGTATCTTTTTCTCACTACACAGACTTTAAAACGAAAGGAGATCAGACAACATATGAATGACACTCCAATTAATCACGTGAGCCTCTTGTTACGATATGTTATGGTATTTGTTATACAGCTTGGTAACTTCGTACTACGTCCAGAGTTTACCACTCCATTGCGAAGACTTGTTGACCATGTCACTGCGGTTAGTGCATATTACTTTAAAAAATTTGTGATGTTAGATGGCAAAATTACAGGTCTGGAAAGAAGAATTGAGTGTCTCGAGGGTCGTGGTGGTAGCAATAGTTATAACACCCAGCTGTCACCAAAGGTTTCCTTGTTGCGTCCACCAATATCTTCTAGCCCAAAATTATAATATTAGCGTTATTTAATGTGCGGAATAATTTAATTAATAAACAATTGACGTAATATCGCTGAAAAATAGTCAATTGTTATTAGCATTTCATATGTATTAATGAAGGAAGAGCATAGTTCTTTTGTTTGGCAACAATACGTTTTGTTTTTAAAAATTAGATTTGATAGATATCCGGTAATTTGTTCAAGTACAAACAATGTATTTTAACCCTATAGAGGCCATTGTACCTCACAGGTAACAATCACCAAACGGGATGTGTAAGAACTTTTGAAAAGGTATGTCTCCCAGAGGGTTAAATAATCATGTGGGACAAATACATATAATGACATGCTTAACACTATTTATACAGACATCATCCACTTCAAGCCACATATAAGCCACGAGGCGTCATGGAAAGTAAATGTTGTTCATATGAGATAGAACAAGACTTTACAAATAGACGACAAGTGTAAAGATTTGTGATTGGGCCAAGCAAAATAAAGTTGTTGCCTTCAACTCTCCTCAAAGACAAGTTACCGAAACACGTCTCATTTGATTACAGACGTACTTAAACGTGTTGATAAAAAATCAAGACCGCCAATATCTGAATGCTCTTCAACAAGGAAATACCACACATATTTAAACATTTGAAAGCTACGATGTACAGATATATACTATCAGTATCACATCCTAAGTGTTAATAGCAGCAGCAAAAAGAAATTTGAAAGAGGAAAACCGTTATGACATATGATACACACGAAGTTACCTGTTTCGATATCAAGTATGAAAATAGATCCTACGGCTGGAAACTACAAATGTAAGTGACTAAACTGACGATAAATGATATTTTGTATTTGCATTTATCTCTATTGCTCTTGTGAAACTATCAATGCATAGAAGTGAAGTTTTCATAGATTAAGGTGTAGACTTGCAATGAACGAGAGCCGTAATTGTTTTTTGCTCATTTTTCTACGCCTCTCTACTATATTTTTAGTAGTAGAACCTCGGGGTAAACAGAACGCCCTTAAATTCTCTCCTAAACTTAACTTAGCAACATATGATTGAAGATTCAATGAATATTTGGACAAGATTAAAGTCCAGTTTATAAATTCATTATCGTCTCATGAATCTTAACCTACAACATATTGCATCTTTGCTTTGTATAACGATATTAAAACGCCAAAAAATTGTAGATTCTAATGAATTTTTTGTTCAAATACGTAGAAGGATTACTTATTGTCTTACTGAAAAGTGAAAAGCTCCTAAGGAGGCAATCACAAAAAAAATTTTAGTCATGACGTAAATTAAGCAAATGTTAACAACGGAAACTTAGTCACTTAAACGTTGTAGAAAGAAAGGTGAATTTTGTCTTTTTATTGACGGATTACTGAAGTATGAGTTGCATGGAATAATCAACTAGTCTTAAGTGTAGGACTCGTAATATGAAAGCTTTCAGTGTAAAATGCTTTGATAACGATGTAAAGCCTTTGATCGTTTGAAACTTGTTACATCTTTCAAACTTAACCAACTAAAGCTATTTGTGCAATGTTGGTGAATGTTTTACCATTTGGATAGTCAAACAGAAAACATATAACAATTTGCTCATTCTCAATATATCTTATTAAGAATTTAAAAACGCAAAGTAACGTCATATGAAGAGTTCTTCATCACGAAATGTCGTACATGTGTTTCATATTTTCTTATATTGTAGATCCCACATGGATGGAGTTGTGAAAGTCCGTTATCACCAATGTCATTCACTTCAATTACTCTTACTAGTTTGTCATTACTCATGTGTCATGGTGATTCATGGCCAAGAATCTTCATTTGTAGTTTGCATTTTTTGTGGATGTCAGTTGTTTGTTCATATAATGATGATGGGCCAAATTGTTATATGAGCCCACCTAAAGGTGGTCAGCTGACATTCATAGGAGATCAAATCTGCACTAAGCATTCTTTGAGTGATGATATAACTGGGGTATTGAAGTGATCCCTTTTCCTTCACTTGAAGTTACCATAAGAGTGCATTGTAAACAGTAATCTATCGAAATGGCGATTCATAATACCAGTAGCCCCTCGATTGGTTACGTTGATAACTTTGTGTATGGAATGGTACAAACATATTGAATGGACATTGGCTAACGGCATTTGTACATGTGAACATTAGTATTGAAATGATTGGACCTTAATCTACGAAGATGGAAAACAAGCGAGTGGAAAAACATGATCCATGTCTTGTGGTTTGTAAGTTGAGTAGATGAGCTTTAAAATTAATTTATAGCTATGAGTAACTGCATGAGATATTCAAAAATGATTCCGATGGTCTATTTTTATAATTTGAACTATAATCATAAAAAACACCTACATTAGCTAAAAAAAATTTCAATAAGAGATGTCAAATGCTGTGAGAAAATAGCTGGCTTTCACTCGCTACTTTACTAATTTTATCAAACGTTTAGAAACAAAATTGCAATGCTTGCAAGTAGGGTTCATTGAATTTTTAAGATAAAAATGTTACAATAAAATTTCTACGATATACACGTAAAAACTGCGCTGTGAAAAAAGTGGAAGAGACCTACTAAGACGCCTCAGACGGACCAGGGCAATGCTTGAAAATCAGGTAGTAAAGTTTTGTTCTTTTCAAAAGATATAATTTCTGATTTTATTCATTCATTATGCTGACATTTATGATGTGTTTTTTATAGAGTAGCTATGTCTGTAGGGGTAATGACTAGACATTGAATGAACGATCAAGTTGGACAGAAGCACGAAGAAACAAGCATCCTTATTGAAGGATTCCCACTTGCGACTTTCGTTATGCGTACTATTAATCAGTATAACGCATTTTAAAATTCAACCGTTAAAAATTTCCGTAAAACTAAATTTTCACAATTATCAAATTTTCGGACAAAACACACGAGTGAAAGCCAGCTATTAATGAAGGTCTTAATAAAGCAACATAGAAATTTTGATCGAATGAAATCTAGTAGACATCAAAAATAATTTGTATGCAAGTCACGACGTCACTTTGGTCATTTCATTTTTCATTGTTTGTTGGTCGGTGAATGATCAGGTCGAACGTACTGAATGAATTTTTCATATGATTTATGTATGAGCTGCTATTAGTTTTTATTTTTCGTCTATTCATTAAAATTTTTGTTAACACTCTGCACTCTTTCATTTTTTGTTCTCAACTAAAGTTTTCGTTTCCTTTGTTCAAACACAAAATATTTGCGGTGTCAATAAATAGGGAAGTCAGCCGACCTTTTTGTCGCCGCTTTTTTTGTTGCTTTGCGAATTTAAAATACGAATGGCGAAGCTACGATCTGACTACGCTGCATGTTAAAGTAGATCATCGGGATCATTGAAAACAACAAAAATATGAAACATCTTAAAACAACAAAAATTTTAGGAAATTTTTCTAAATTTTGATCTTTTTATTTATTGGAGGGTTTTTTACCGGATCCACCGGTTTTCCCTCCCATTTCGTTTTGTTTTGGAAAAAAAACAGTGTCCACATTTGGGGCCAAGCGAAGTCATTTGTCATAACATTATTTATTGTAGAAATCATTAATATTCACGTCTATTTTTTATTTCTCGGCCTTTGGGTGTATTTCCCAAAACACTGCGTTTAATAAATATAATGTCATACATTTTGAAAAAAATATGTACGCAAGTTTTCTGCTCAGTCAGATCTTCTAAAACAAATTTTTTTAATCTTCTGCATCAACCGACTTAGCGAGGAAGGAAAAATCATTTTATACAGTATGGAAGTGTGAGTTGCGTACATAATGAACATTCCATGATTCTTTCATTTCACTAAGGAGTCCTTTTTACTTAAAATATTGCTTTAAACATGAGCAATGTGACGAATTTTTATATTACTCTCGGTAATACGATTAGCACAATAATATTAGCACACACCATTCGACAATTTTCTCCCCTACCATGAAGTGAGATGTTTTATGCCTGTACAAAATACATTCTCAATGATATAGAGAGAAATGATAACACCAAATACACAGAGATTAATCTTGATAATAGATAGTTTGAAGTTGAGATTATTAAACTACAATGTTCTTCTCAACGTCACTGCACATCTGAGAGTAGCATTATCTTAATGACTATTTTCATTGCATCCTTTACTATTGTATCGACATTGTTTTTTCTCATAGCTAAGCAATTATAATGCATGCAGTTGATGTTTGAAATGTATTCGTAAGTTACAATGGTTTATTCAATAATAAAGGTTCTTTTTATAATAAGAAGTGACTTATGCAAGAATATACACGTATGGAATTTTTGACTAAGCAAGGGGAAAAAATCCATTCACAGTTTCGAAAATCGTGTCTTGAACATTGGCATTCAAATCCTGTTTTAGATAGGTGATTCTCTATTCCTGAGTTAAAAGTTGTGAAACTTTATAAGATTTAGCAGTAGTCCTTTGGAATTTGACTAATCTCAATGTTATTATGTACTCTGCATGAGGTTCTTCTTTATGTATTTTTATTTCTATAACAATTGTTTTTAGTCAGTGATGTATACTCAGTTATATAACTAGAATGTTCTACATGCATGTCATTAATGTTTTATAATAGTGTTTGTTGAAGGAGATCCTGACTCACTCTTCATCTTCGTTCGTTATTCAAATGTGTTTATGTGACAAAACTCACAAGGATAAAAGATTGATGTTACAATAAGGTATGAACTTTCATCACCATTTTTAAACTGATATGTATGTGGTCGCGTTGTTTATATTAAATCTCTTATCCGTTTGTTGAGTATGTGACATGTGAAGAACTAAAGCAAGCATAATTTTGTCCACACGATCGTCGTGTATGAAGTCTTATTTTTAAAACAAAGGTAATTTTACGTAAGTTAACCGAGATTTTGTATTTACATTTCTAACTTAACAAATTTGATATCGAAGCATTGCGTAGTATGAAGTATGACTATAAACAAATCAATGTTTATTTCCATTCCAAATGAAAATTGTTTGAATGATTCTATATGTGATTTTTAAAGCTATATTTAATACCACGACTGGAAAGTAGGTTTCATATTTTGTTTCAAATTATCCACTATAAAAATTGCGGCTCTTGCACGAAGAAAAGGTTTGGTAATAAATAATTCTGAGTCAGTGATGGATGCGCTTGACATTCACAGATGCCATGTCATAATGTGACATTTCGTTTTAAATATAAGTAAACAGTATAATGTACAAATGTTTTGGGAAACAGGGAAATGTTTCTTCAAAGTTTCCTAATTTACTAACACTCGATATTCACGCAAAGATATTTTTGCTTTATTTTTTATAACAAATGAAATACGCTCATAAGCAACATAGGAACTTCATAATTTTTATCCCCAAAAAAACAAAACCCACGTGATTAGTCTTTTCACAAAAATAACATAAAGTTTCCCACACACTCCCTCGTATGACTTTTATGTTACAAGTAATTTGCTATAGTACTTAATGTTATGGTTAATGTACATCTTTCTCATCCTGTAAAATTTCTCACACACGTTGTTCTGCCTCGATGGCTGCTTGTCTTATAGGTACAAAATGTTCAGCGTTTGGATTTAATTTTGTTATCTTCTCCTTTGTGTGCTTTCCGTCCGCTGTCTGGGTTGATTCGCATGATAATTCCTGAGGTTATAAAGGTTGAACGGCTCTCTCTAATTGATTTCGACCTGCTCTCAGTTTTGCCGCATG